GGGGTGCTCAAAGTATTGTACTCGTTTGGTAAGTTTTGATGAATCGTTTAGACTTGGGAGTAACGGCAGAAGGCTGTTGCTGATATGGTTTCGTAGGTATATAGTATCGAAGTGTTAAAGTGTCATAATTTTTACTCGGCTGTTTTGTAGCTGAAGGTCTAATGGAATTTGATTGGTAATAGAGAAATGAGAATGCAGGTGATGAAGTATCGTAGTTCTGGAGTTCGGGAGTATCGATTCTTGTGGTATTAAGGTATCGAACTGTATCGACTGTTAAAGTGTAGTAGTAGGTCCAGTGAAATCGTTGATTGGGAGTACCGTTTAAAGAGCTTGGTCAGTTAAACGAGTTGGAGTCGTAGTTCTGGAACGTCGAGTATAGTTATGTTTAGGTATCGAAATTTGATATGTGCTGTGAATGGAGTTAGTATATCGAGTTGTCGAGTTTAAGTTAGATTATTTTAATTCAGTACGGAACACACTACATAGAAATGTAGGCGTTCTCTAGTTGAAAATTTTTTAGTTTTTTAGGAATCTACATTACTACTCTTAAAGTATTAATATGTAATATTAAATAGGATGGAATTTAAAACCAACCGTAAACTTTCTTTTTTCTCAAATTATGTTGTTTTTTTTTAAATTAAATCAACAATGCTAGCAAAGTCTAAAACAGTTATCCGTATTCGAATTTTTTTGAAAAGCGTCCCTTTATTAAAGGGATCCAAAATTTTAATAATACATTGATTTCGGTAATAATGAATTGTATGTCATCGTTTTTGAATAGAAGTATGTTAAAATAAAGCTATCGTTTTTAGACTTTTAATTAAAACTTACACTTAAATATTTAATTGGTAAAATATATTGTTTTTACAAGTTTACATAGCTTGTATAAAAGATTTATTATAATTATTACGTAATGAAATTAAAAGCGTTTTATTGTGTTTTTCAAGCATGTCTTAGTTACACTTGATTAATTTAGATATTCTTTTGAAAGTTATTTCCCTTGAACAAAATTTTGTTATTTGGATTTTAAAATGGGAGATAATTCGTTGCTTTACTTTACATTCATTTCATATTTCTGCACCTTCTCAGAAATTTATATAATTTACATAGCAAATATATACTTTTAACAGTGTCCGCCCCCCCCCCCCCCCGGAGAAAAAAAGTCTGGAAGAAACACTGCACCTTCTGTTGACCGCTTACATATAAATACAACTTTAATTTATTTTTTGCTATTGTAAAAATTATATAGAGCTTAATTAAGTTCTAAACAAAATAGTTTGGTAGGTTTTTTTTAGCATTTTCAAGTTGAAAAACAAATACATCAGTAGCCGATGTAGATTGCAATACTTTATGTTAGTAGACATACAGTCTTAGTCGTAAATTAAACATCTAATTAATTGTCTTTTCATATTTTTCATCCTCTCCTAAAGGATTCATATATAACAATTTTAGGCTTGAATCTCTAATATTTATAATCTTTTATTTTTCAAAAACAAAAAATCGTTACATAATTAAAATATAATCATAATATAGACATTTTACAATTTTAACTAAAGACAGTCAACCTTAAAACAGGTAAGTTCCGTTTTGGAACTCACCTTGGGAGGACAGCAGAGAGCCCAACACTACAAAAGGGGGGGGGGGGTGGGAAGCACTTAAAATTTTCTAAGGGGGGGGGGGGCTGTGTCGTAAAGTACAAAGTAGACTCGTGGCCTTAGCAACAATTTCAATAACGCTTGCAAACTGGGATTGAAAGAATTAGTACCACCTTATTTTACGAAGGAGGCAAGTAAAATTTGATTTTGATGTATACTGATAACGTGTATGCAATTGATAATAAATTAATATGTCATTTTTAATTAATTATTTTCTTACAAATATGTTTTAGTAAATGACGTCACGCTTTTTTGACGATTTTTACCTCCCCCCTCCCCTCCGTCACACATCGTCACAAAAAGCCAGACCCCCCCCCCCCCTAAAATGTCGTCACACCTCAGTCTACAAACGCCCCCACCCCCCTCATAATTGCAGTTGAATTTTTCTTAAAAAATCGATATTTTTCCAAAATTTTGTCTGAACTCTGTCAAAATAGAGTATTTTAATCAATTCATATTAAAACAGTTTTCTAAAACGCGAAATAACGTCTAAAATTCTTTTTCTAACATTGATTTTTTATAATGCAAAAGTGTGACGTCGCACGATCTAAATCCCACCCCCCGCCCCCTTCCCTCTCCCTTATCACACACCGTCACAAAATTACGGACCCCCTCCCCCCTACAAGTGTGACGTCATTTATGGACGACCACTAAGAAGTTTTGGCTAGTGCGCTAAATAACCTGGCGCCCGCACTGACTTAGCTCAACCGTGAACACGCGCCGTGTCTAAAAGCCACGATATCCAAATGAAAAGACGTGTGTTGAGTGACGCTTGGACAAGGTGGGGATTGGGGATTGGTGTGGTGTGCGGGGAGTGGAGATGAAAAATACCTGCTCGTTTAAACCATCTTTAAAGCTCTAGTCACGGTGTTGTTAAATAAGCCGTACCCTGGGGCGTTGCCAGATTTTAGGGGGGGGGGGGGCATAAAATTGTTACAGATTTTCACATCAACTGACATCAACGATGAAAATTTGATTTTGATTAAATAAATGGCGCTAGTTTGAGAACAATATTGGGTGGGGGGTGGGGAGAGGCTTCCTTATTACCTACCTCTCAGAACTTATGATGTGATTAGATTTAGGGACATTGTTTACATTGTATTTATTTCTTTTATGTTATGCTTGGGCTACTGTCTACTCAGCATCAAGCACTCTACTGCTAACACATCAACACAATATTTTATGTTATCAACGGCGTATTTTTTTTTTAAACATTGCCGTTTTCTGTTTAAACATTATCTTTATTGTGATCTTGTTTCTCAGTTTTTTAGACGATCATCATGCAAATCACGAAAAATCGCAAGCAGTAAATTCTAAAGAAAAAAAAAAACAATAACACGGGCATTAGGGCATCAATCAAGTTTTATAATCATCTTCTGAGACGTTTGCAACAGCGTATGCATTTCTAGTAGCTTCAGCTGTTTTTACAATCACAGATTGTGTTACCCGTTGTATTATTATTTGTATCATTTCATGTCCCATTCATTGCATTTGTATTCGTATCATTCCTAATATTCTTCCTTATTGAGTGTATTATTAACTATATTATTTGTATCAGTACGTGTCCTATTCAATGTGTCTTTATTTGTATCATTCCTGATTTACTTCACTGTAAAGTGTATTATTCGCTGTATTATTATTTGTATCATTCCGTGTCCCATTCATTGTGTCTTTATTTGTATCATTCATGATCAGTTGCGTAGCGAGGTCGGGTGTCACCCGGTGCGGCACTTAATGGTGTCACCCCCTCAGAGGCGTAGCGACTCTTCCCAGGGACAAACTTTCAATTTTCGATTTGAACCCCCCTCACTCAAACTTTCGATTTGCACCCCCCCCCTCAATTTTTTCTCTATGTATTTTACTATTTTTTGCCTTGGTGTCAACCCCCTAAATAGTGTCACCCGGTGCGGTCCGCACCCCCCATCCCCCCTCGCTACGCCTCTGTTCCTGATATACTTCCTTGTATAGCGTATTATTTGCTGTATTATTATTTGTATTATTCCGTGTCCCATTCATTGTGTCTTTATTTGTATCATTCCTGATATAGGCCTACTCCTTTGTAGATTGTGTTATTCACTGGATTACAATTTATATATTTCCGTTTACATCCATAGTATCTTTATTTGTATCATTCCTTGTATCCTGTAATGTTTTGTACCGTAACACGTACACATAGATTTAAGAATGTTGAACATTGTAAGACAATCACGAATTGCTTATTATAACCGCCGTCGTAAAAATAAGTTACTGGGCGTGCTTATCTTCAGTTGTGTAATTAGTTACGGTATCTGTGTTGATTACACGGTGTGTTATAAATCTATTTATATTGGGAGATTGTGTTGATTTAGCTACATCACACCTTGCCGATAACAAAAATCTGTTTCAACTGTATGGTATATTTAAATAAACTTAAATTGGAGAATGTGTTTTTTTTACCACTTCACCGCTTGCCATTGTCACCATTTAAAATTACTATATCTGTCATCACCACGAGTATCACCATTTATTATCACCTATCAAACAGTGTCGGTGGAGTTTTTCCTGTGTCACCTCCAGGAATACCAATAATGTCACCAATAATGTCTCTCCACTAATATCACCATTTGTCTCTTTACTAATAGCACCGTTTGTCTCACCCCTAAGATATTCATTAGTCTCACCACTTATATCACCATTTGTCTCACCACTTATATCACCATTTGTCTCATCACTAATATCACCATTTGTCTCATCACTAATATGACCATTTGTTTTACCACTTATATCACCATTTGTCTCATCACTAATATGACCATTTGTTTTACCACTTATATCATCATTTGTCTCACCACTTATATCACCATTTGTTTCACCACTTATATCACCATTTGTCTCATCACTAATATCACCATTTGTCTCACCACTAATATCACCATTTGTGTCACCACTAATATCACCATTTGTCTCACCACTTATATCACCATTTGTGTCACCACTAATAGCACCGTTTGTCTCACCGCTAACATCACCATTTGTCTCACCACTAATATCACCATTTGTGTCACCACTAATATCACCATTTGTCTCACCACTTATATCACCATTTGTGTCACCACTAATAGCACCGTTTGTCTCACCGCTAACATCACCATTTGTCTCACCACTAATATCACCATTTGTCTCACCACTAATATCACCATTTGTCTCATCACTAATATCACCATTTGTCTCATCACTAATATCAACATTTGTTTCACCACTTATATCACCATTTGTCTCACCACTAACATTACCATTTGTCTCACCACTAATATCACCATTTGTCTCACCACTGATATAACCCTCTTCTCTCCCCCCCCCCCACAGTGCTAACAGCAGTGAGAGGTTCGAACCCGCACTTTGTGTACCGCGAGGACTGGCGTGAGCAGAGCTGCGCCAGCGTCCTCCATCGTGTCAGGAACCAGCTGGTGAGTACCCCGCTGCCACCCGATCTGACGGGAGACTGGGTGTCTTACAGGTGAGTCGCTGCACATCTACTCACGTTCTAATCACGTGTTGGGTTTACGTTTGTTTCGTCTTCCACGTCGCTATTGTTGTTTGTGTAAGCAACCACAATCATGACATAGGTGTCGGTGTAGTCGAATGGTAGAGCTTACGCCTGCTAACCCGAGAGCTTCGGGTTCGGATCCCGGGTTCGAGTCTGTGGAACGTCAATGGGTGGGCTACCCAGTTTATACGGGCGCCCTGACTCAAGTTTATGTTTTTTTTTCCTGAAAAATGTATTAATTTTTTACATAATTGTGTAAAATATCAACTACCCCTATGTGTTTAGACCCCCCCCCCACCTACCATTGTCGCCTTCCCCATCCAGCCCCCCCCCCCCCCCACCACCACGGTGTTGTAGAATATCAACCACCCCTATATATTTAGGCCGTCTCCAGTGTTTCTTCCAGACTTTTTTCTTGTGGGGGGGGGGGGGCACTTGAAATTTTCGGGGGGCGTTAGACTTTTTTCTGGGGGGCGGTAGACTTTCTTCGAAGAGATGCCTGGAAGAAACTCTGACCGTCCCTACCCCTGTCCACTCTCCCAACCCAATCCCCCCCTCCCCACAAACGTACGTAGAATATCAACAAGCCCTCTGTGTTTAGACAAAAATAAAAAGATTGACATAAATTGGTGTCTTCTTATCTCGTGTCATTCACTGCATCACCACGCCAATGCCCCGCCCCCCACATCTTTTATTCATACCCTCACGTGTCGCCCTCTTAATTTCATTACCCACCGGCATCCGGTGGCGGCTCCCAGAAATAAATGGCCCCGGCTCACTTGAGCCATTTTGGCCAGTCGCCTCCACCTTCCTTCGGCCAACATTCAACACATTTTGGCTTCTTGAGTTTAATACGATTTGGTCACCTGCATACAAGTTGGTTCATTTCGTCCCAACCGGCAACGTTCAGCCCCCCATTACAGCTGTCTCGCTGAGCCACACTAGCCAGATTCTTTGCCCGCGTGAGTGTCACTTAAGAAACGTTAAGGCCGAATCTAGATTTTCCATTCTTATCAATGTTGGCCCAACGTGAATTGTCGCTTGGCTTCTTCGTTCGTCAGTTTCTTAAAAGTCTTTTCTTGTATCTCACCCCTTCTCGGTGTTGTCTTTCTGTGCCCGTCTATTTTTAGACCTCCTACTACTTCTTGCAAGTTAGAAAAGAATCAAAGATATAAAAAAATGTTTCTGTTTATTACCTTGTATATTAAGTCACCCCCATTGAAGTTGTTTGAATATACATCGCCGATTGTTTCATTGCAAAAAGCCAAAAAAAATCTGAAGTCACGAGATCATTATTACTTTACGAGTACACCCCCCCCCCCATCTCACACACACCCCCCATCCCACACACACCCTCCATCCCACACACACCCTCATCCTCCAACTTTTTGCTCACACACACACATGATATTATGCACTCTGTCATGTACAGTTAATCCAAGATTAGTGTTTTGATCCATAAGAAAACGTCGTTGAATTATATATTGAGACTTGAAGATTTTAGTTCATATGGTAATAAATATCTGCTTTGCTCATTCTGCAAGACGTTCTGCTAATTTTTTTTATGAATTGCAACATTTAAATCAATATCAGCTTAATTTTACCTTTTTTTTCCTCCATAAATTGAAACTTTTTAAGCGGAAAAATATTATTGTTTTATTAAAGAGCAATTACAATTTTTAGGCACTTAAAAATTCTATTTTTAGAGGTCCGTAAAGTTGGGAGAGCTCAAGTTATTTATCAGATGTTTCTTACAACATCTTATACGTATTTCATTCAAGATTCGTGCATTTGCAATACAATATATACCTGATTATTACAACGTAACATTAACGTTACTCCCCAGACTCTTCCCACCCCCCCCCCCCCAAAAGTGTATGTTGTGTGTACATGTAGGAACAGTGGCGTCACGAGGTAGGGTGTCACCCAGTGTCATCCGCCCACACCTACCCCTACTAGAAAAGAACAGGGGGGCGGGGGGCTGTATGATTCTCTAGAAGGAAATATGTTGTTCTGTATATGGCGTCACAACATTTTGTAAAACATGTACATTGTTGTATTACCTCTTGCTTGCAGGATATCGTCGCTGAATTTTTTTTATTAAGTTTACACCATAGAAATATCATTTTCATAATCAAGTTTTAAAATTTCCAATCAATTTATATCTATTGTGGGTCCAATAATTATTTTAGTAATTTAACCTTTATCCAACAGTCTGTTGGTTAACAGAGCTATCTCCCCTTGGGCTAAATAACTAAATTATCAACAACCATAGGCGGACCTTTTTTTTTACCGACGTATTCAACAACAGCCAATTTGTGACAACAATATTTTTAAGGTGTAAGGTGTAACAAAAATATAAAAAAATCTGACAAGATCGTGACTGAATTGCCAGATGTGTGGACCCGACTCAGTCGACAATCTTCTCTTCATTAATGACACAATGCCGTCTGACTTGTTTTATTTTCTTGTCGTCTGTCTCGGAATTATTGGATCTCTGGGAATGTAGCACTATCCCCTCATATATTATACATATATATATATATATATATATATATATATATATATATATATATATATATATATATATATATATATATATATATGTGCTTTTGTAATCGTCATCTAGGGTTAAAACAATCGAGACATAGCCTATATGGGGGCGGGGAGAATCGGGGGCGTGACCTGACTTTTGTTCCATTTAGGATCTTGAGTACAACGTAATGCTATCTATCCTAATATGTAATAGCACTTCTCCATTGAAAGGCCGGTTTTTTTAACGGAATCATTTAAGTCTTGTAATCAATGTGTGCATTTAATATGGTGTTGTGTTGAATAATTATGTATATAAGTTGGCTTTATTTTTTCTAATAGGTATTAGTGGCCTATGTTATTTTAAATGTGTCGGACTTTTAGCTATTTAGTTATTTCTTTACTTTGTCACTAATATCGTTAAACTTGTAGTAAATCACATTGCGTTTTGACCAATAACTATTTTATAAAATATTCTTCTAAAAAATGTATAAAATTAAAAATATATAGACCTATATTCACATGCAACGGGTACCGATGGCTAGTTAAAAATAAACAGCGGATACTAGAGTTGTTCCATTTTTCTTAAGTTGATGGAAATTGTGTGACGTCTTGTAACGGGGGTGGTGGCTAACTTTAGGGTAGGTGAGGGGCGGGCTATTCTAGATTCTAGACTTTGTGATATTATGTTACTCTAGGATGAAGGGGTCGTTTTCGTAAAACTCGGTCACGCTTACATAATCTACCCCACTTCCATTCACACTACTTTCACGTAAATTTGGGAAAAAAATTGTTCAAGTCCTAAGACCATCTTTAAACCGAACTTTGACCCCCCCCCCCCCTATAGCTTGACGTTCTGTTACTCCAGCCCCTAAAACGCCCAACCGTGCTAAAAATAGACTTAAAAAATTCCCCATCTTCTCCCTAACGTGCCAATTGTTTCTGTAGTGTTTGTGTCCTGACGTGGCGCGATCTGATTGGGTAACTAGGTGTGAAAGCCACTCATTACGACCGTCTCCTGCCCCCGGCTGACCCACTTTGCATACCAAATGAAACCACGTGACACAGCCTTGATAGTTTTGCTCTTACTCTCATTGACATGACAAACTTGACCTCAAATTGACTAGACGAGTGGCGAGAAAATAAACTGCTAAGACGTGCATCTTTTGAAGATGGTGGATTCAATTAAATCTACTTAGAGTAAAACGTTCTCTGCATACCATTTCATTTTTGAGTTGCTTGTTTTATATATGCGTGTTTAAAATGCTATTTCAATCATAAGGTTTTATCAAATACTTTTCGATTTGAAAATGTTTCACTTTTACGCTGCGACTCGAGAATTCTTAAAATAAAATATTTTTAGTACACAAAGTTTAACGGGTGTTATAAAACTATTTTTCAATATATTAAAATCCATTTCAATTATAGATATGATTATTTTATAGAGTTCCTTTTTTGAAAATGTTTTATTTTTATATTGGTGGTTGAAAAATCTGAAAATGAAAACTGTTGATCGGTGACTAAAATTCAGTAACGTTTCTTGCAATTTATTTTTCCAATTATTTAACTCAGTCTTCAATCATACAATTATATCAAAGAATTCATTTGAAAATATGTCATTTTTGTAATAATATTTTTAAAATCCGAAAAAAGAAAGAATGTTGATTGATGCCTAAATTTCAATAATTGTATTCTTTAGGGTTTTCCCCCTTATTATTTAAACACCGTCTTCCATCATAAAATTAAAAACTTCACTTTGAAAGCATTTCACTTTTGCAATGGAACTGTGGAACTCATGAAGTCTGAAAATGAAAAATGTGTATTGGTGCCCAGAGTTGAGAGCCAGACTGTCGGAATTGATGTATTGGAATGAACTTGTCACTGATAAAAACCTTGCAAAAGTCGTGTCCTGATGTGTAGACGTATGAAACCCAGGGGAAACTACCCGTCATCCGGAGAATGAATTTTTATTTGAAGTTTAGTGAAGGAAATCGTACCGTAATTTTTTTTTTTATTTAATAAAAATGTATGGGAATTCCGAAGCTAAAAAAAACTATTTTTATAACTTAATTAATGGAATTTCTTTTAAAATAACACTATAAATTTTAAAAATTAGCGCCCGTCTGGTAGTGATGGTGTAAAAATGTTTACTTTCAGACTAGATAAAGTAGAGTTTATATTTATTTTTTGACATCCCCCCCCCCCCCGCCTTTATCTGTAGGGATCAGGAACCCAAAAGGAATGAGTGGATTCAGGGACATGGGGTTAGTAGTCGTGCACTAGGTCACTTACCCACACCATTACAGTAACCACTCACCCACACCACACCACTGACTACTCACACACACCACCCCACTGACCACTCCCCCACACCATCTCACTGACCACTCACCAACATCACCCCACTGACCACTCCCCCACACCACCCCACTGACCAC